TTGGTAAAATTGGTGAACATTGAAGTCCACATGTCTTCAAGTTGCCATGGTTGAGAAACACTGCCGTAACCCCATCACACGCGGGTCAGTTCCCAAACCCGGCCCAGTCAGTCCTCCAAGGAAGAAAGTTGGAAATGATGGAGTGGCTGAAAAAAAGCACATTGTTTCAGAAAGTCATTGCTGGGAACTAATAGCATAGAACATGCAGTTAACATCTAACAGTATAATATTGCGACAGTCAATATTAACAGGCCACAATAAATATCAATATGGAAGTGCTTTATTTGAGCAGAAGGGTAATTAACTGGTGAAATTCCTTAAGGATCAACTGTCCAGAAGTTATACCCAGGCTAGCAAATTCTTTCAAGGCCGTTGACCCAAGTAAAAAATGCATAACAGATGCAAAGGTTTAACGTAGGCATTCTTGTTTTAGGCCCTGTGTTCTTGATGCAGCTCCCTAAAATGGTCAGAATGTCTAGCTTGTGATTTGGAGGGATTTATGATCTTTAGTCTTACGTAGTGCAGGAAACGGGCAAACTGTTTCGGGTAGGTCCTGTTCTGCGGAAATAACGCAGCGCAGGAGCTCATCATACGCTTGGGATCTTTCGCTAAATTGTAGAGTGGCTAAGGTTCTCTTTGCACTTCTCTTCTTAAGAGATCTCGTGTCCCCAACCTACTCACAGGCTTTCTATTGTGGGGGGGAAATGGTCTTACATATGCCGTCTTGAAGCGCTGGAAGAGAGAGGAAAATACAAATCTAACTAAAGAACCATCACTCCATCAGTGACAGAGCCCCAAGCTCCAGATGGTAGCAGAAAGTAGCTGAAAATCTAGGTGTAAAATGGTTCCTAACGAATATTAGCAAGTTTTTTTTTTTAAAAAAAAGCTCTTTTAGTTCACATCATAGCCAATTTCCCCTCCCCTTGGATCCCCTTATGGCATCGACTACACATCCTATCGTCCCCAGCGAGCTTGGCCGAGGATAGGAACGATGGGAAATGCAGGGGAGAAACCAGTATTCTTGTACTTGACTCCTTCTGGAAGGGACCATCTTGGGAAGCTGGTTTTTTGCAAATGCAGGCCCAAAGTGAAATACGGAAACAGGTGGGAGAGCGGACCCACATAAATCAAAATGATTTAGGGTCTGTAAGTCCTTGCAGACCGTCTGCGTTACTGCTTCAGCCTGACTCTCCAAGAATATGTGGTCAAAACTTTTGACTTCTTCTTCACCACGCAAGTGTACGTTCCTTCGTTGATCGCGTTGGCGATGATGCTCATGTGGTCGTCGTTCAGAAAAAGGTAGCCGGGATAGGAATATTCCAGCAGTTCCTTCTCCTTATACCAACTGCGTGATTTAAAAAAGAAAGAGAATGGGACACTCAGTTTAGCCTTCCGGAAACGGTTTAGAAAGGTGCTCTCTTGCAATCGTCCACCTAGCCCAGAGTTCAAATCCAAACGCGAGTGACTTACTAAACTTTCCCCTTTTTGTGGATAATTTTCTGGCCGCATCGGAAAGTAACGTTCCGCCCCTCTGGGACAAGCCGGGTCTTCATCCTTGGGGGTGGTGGGGTTGGGATCACCGTCGGAAAAGGGAACGCTACCCTCAGAATAAGGAAAATAGAAAAAAGACACATCAGCTCAGAATGACAGCAGTGGAACTAACACAGCGATCCCTCCCCCAGCAAATGATAAACGTGATCCGGAATAGCGATCTTTTGGGCTAAGAAGTGCCCTTCCCTGCATTTGGTCTCGTTCTCACTGCGTTTAAAAAATCGGCCACAGGATCCCCGTTGTTCCCAGCTTTTATTGTTAACTGATTTCACTCCGCAAATAGATAGTTTGGCATTGTTGCGGCAAGACCCGATGTAAAGCAAATAAAGATGTTTTGCTGGGGCAGCGACAGATTGCGGTTGCCTCCCCCCGACTCCGTTTCTCTTTAAAAAACACACTTTGAGTTTCGAGTTTCCCAGAGGCGGTTGGATGACGCGGAGAGATTCCCAGCTCTTGGGAAAACATTGCACCAACGGTTCCCTCCGACCGCGAAGAAGCTATCAGTTTAGAGAATCAATTGGCCTTTTGAAAGGAGATTCACTAGAGTGCAGAATGACACCCACCCAATTACCACGAACTGAGATGCGAGAATTACCCAAGCAGAAGTCACAGCTGTACGGACAGTGCTTTTTCATAAACCGCTGGCGCGTTCGACAGTACCCTTTCCGACTCCACGATGAGCATATAAACAGTCGATCTTTACAGCCTGAAAAAACAGGATTTCACTTTTCAAACGGGCAGTTGGTCAGCAAAAGAAGGGTAGAAATGTCATGGCTCATTTGTTTCGGACTGAACGGTTTTGGGTTGGCACGTGAGCTGAACCTATCACCAAAGCTAGTTTTTAGCAACAGAATTTAACAAAGGGACAGTCAAGTCAACCTAACAGCAGCAAACCTTAATTCATCCGTCATGGTTATGATTTCAGATTTAGCTGAGATAATGGGCTGGGTTGCCTTTCCGAAGGAAACTCTGGGGGCTCAATCACGCTTGCATCTCAAAATGTTAGCATTTTCTCCCACGGTGGCATATAAAACTGGTGTATGAAACAGCCTCTTTGTATTCCTGTATAGGTGGAGCCAACTTAAGGGGAAAAATCACTTTTGTTGATGTTTTCCTGAGATAAAATGCTCATCTTCCCATTCAGTCTGTTCTTACTTGCTGAGGTTTTTCAAAGTAGTGAGAAACCATTGGAATAGTTGGGTTCATTGAGGCGGGGGGGGGAGGTATAGTTTATTTTCAGAAAAGAAATATTTAATATAAACACAAGGGGAGAAGGAAAGCCACATTTTTTGTTGATCTGATGGTAACGAAAATAATTCCACCCATTCTTTCTAAAACGGGCGTGGACTGCACGTTTGGCATGAGAATCAACTGGTGGTTAATGCCAGTCCAAACAGTTTGAAACACAAATGGTACAATAAAAAATACACAGGCACAGAGATTGATTTCTCCTCCCTCCACCGTCTCAGATGCTGTCCTGCACCACAGCGCAATTCTCTGTTCCAAGCTGTAAATACACCCTTCAGCTGAATTTCAGAGTTGGATTGAAAACCTATCATTTTCTCTGCCCGAGATGTTCTGAGTTTCAGAGGCCCAGAGAAGAAAGTCTGGGGGAACTCAAAGCCACTGCGTGCTCACGCCAAAGTCCTTGTCCAGGAATTTGGGATTGCTGGACAGATAATGCTGCCTTCAGGAGGGTTGGGATTGACCTTAAAAACAATTTTAATGGGATATTAACATAAAGAAAGCATGGCCTGTCATTTCCCCATGCAAGCCCTCTCCTCCTTGTGTCTTTTTCTTGCCTTTTCCTTTTTATGGACCAACACAGTGATTTTGAAAAGCCTGTTCTCCAAAACTTAGTCCTTTTCCACCACAGTCACCTCTGCTCAGGTCTGTTTGCATGAGGCAGCTACCGGCGCTCTTTTTATCAGGGAAAATGGCAAAGATGATGACTGATGGTTCCAAAACTTGCCTTTTCTCCTAGCAACTAATGCATCCACTTACCATAGAGCCGGTAAATTCCCCACATCTCGTCCTGTGAGATAGTATTCTTCCCTGTCAGGGTAGCATTAACATGCATGAGGGCACTGGGATCCAAGGAGTGCATGAGACCTAAAGCATGGCCAATTTCATGGGCCGCCACGTGAACCAGATCTGTCAGCCAGACGCCTAAAAAAGAGGAACCTTAATTAACTGGTGGATTTGCAAGGAAGAAAATACACCACGTGCAAAACTATTCTAGCTAATCTGGGATATTTTAGTCTACCTGCCAAGGCTGAGAAATTTTTTAAAACACCGGGAACAGCAAGGATTTAAGTAGATCGAGTTTTGTATCATGCGGCGTGATGGTTTGGGCCTTTCAGAATCTGTGCCTTCCAGCAGACGTGAAGAAATAAAGCACAATATGGACTTCATTTTGTTGTAACGTTGCTGCATCCGACAATTGCTTTTAGCTGGGTAGCCAAAAGGGATCATCCGTAGTCCACCCTGCAACTTTCTCTACTCTGCAGAAGGGGAGGGTGCCCGAATGGTGGGAGAATTCACTTTTCCCCACTGCAAAAGTTAGAGTTAAAAAGGAACGCCGCTCGCTCTTCCTGAAAGACGAGACGCCGGAGGTCAACAGATCCTTTTCTTTGAGCGTTGAGCAAATCTTCTAGCCCCCTCCTTAATTTAAAACAGAAGGAGCAGTAGCAATAAAGTTGGTTCAGCTATACTTGAATTGTACGAATCCTTGTCCTGAATTAAAGTCCCCTTCTCATCTAGCCCAAAGGATTTATTTTTCATTTTCAAAAAATAAAACCCCGAAATGTAGAAATATAAGCCTGCCTTGACCTTAGCTGCTCTTGTTGTGAAATTTAGGGGTAGGGGAGATGATCCCCCCCCCCAAGTAATGCAAAAATTCTCATTTGTCTCGCTCGGTCTTCCTAAATAGGAAATCGTCGTCTTGTTTGCAAACTGTCTCATCAGGGATGTTTGGGACATGAAAGGGAATAACAGATTTATGTTTGTCTCGGAGACGATGCATCTCCCTCCTGGGATTTTGCAATTGAGAAGTTTGCAGACTGTTCCCTGGTCAGAATAAATTCCCAGGCTGGAAAACGTCCATCTTCAAAGCTTTGAGATTAGTTTTATGAGAGAATAATCTTGTCTAGAGGAATAAGATGCGTGAGGTTGGCAATTCTTTAGGGAGCAAGGAGGGATTGTGAAAAACAACACAGTTGGAAAGTAATATTCAACATCGAAGATGCAATATTCTGCCTCCTGGGTCTTTTCGACAAGGCCTTGATAAATCAAAATGTTATTAGGAAAGGGAAAATGGTTTAATATTTGAGGGGCGCATTAACCGTCTGCAGTTCAAATTGAAATGGTGCGAAATGAAATTGAATTTTTCTCCCGAACCCAATCGCTTCGAACAAGACAGCTCTTGGCGCTTTGCAGCTTGAAAAGAGAACGGGCGATTTCTGCTCTGTATTCTTCTCAAACGGGGCATCAGAGAAGACAAACCACTGATTAAAGGGGCTAGAAACCTCAAGACAGTGGAGTTTGGCTGCTGTGTCTCTGCATGGTGGATCTTGCTGGGTTTCCAAATAACCCTCCTTGGGTGAAGATTATTTATGCTCCCTTATAACATCATGCAGTGCTCGATCGTTCAAGCATTCCTATCTGCAATGTCAAATCCCCGTCTGCCGAGATAGGCCCGGAACAGGGACTCATGCAGAGACACGGGGGACAGACTCTTTAGGGAAGCACCCTGAAAAACCTCTTGGGAAAGGCTCATCTCAACCGAAGGCCCATCTGGTTAGCATTTCGTGGAGCCCTTTAAAAGAACAGTGGCAGCCGAGCCACCCGCCAAAGGCCTCATCTCCCAGATGGACAAAAATGTAAACAGCTTCTTGTTTTTCTGACGAGAAAGAAAACACGACAAACCCTCAATAGTGCTCAGTCCTTGGATCTCAGCCGGCAGCGGCAGTTAAGCAAAAGGATCACAGCATCTCCAGTTCAGCTGGCAGGAATATTTTCATCAGTAAGATTCCAGGAAGTAAACTCGGCGCTCGAGTTGCAAGCAATTGGATGGTGAAATCCGACAGGCTGGAAGAGCGGGCGAAAAACAGCGCCTAATTTCGCACAGGCGCCGCGGCCGTCCCCAGCAACAGAGAGGTCAGGCCTCCCGGGCACGAGCCATTTAGAAACCGATTTCTACCAGGGTTAATCTCAGGCCTACTTGGTTATTTCCGATTTGGCAAAGCCGTGAGTTTCTGCCCTTAGATATTGAGTATAATCTCTGATGGGTTTTGTCTGCCTGCTCAATAGAGATCCGTAGGAAAGGTTATAAAGCTTTCCGAAGAATGAAAGCTACGAAAAGCAGAAATAGCTCCTAGCTGTTGAATTATCCTACATCCTTAAGGACTAGAAACTTGGTTTAGCAAAACAAACCTGAAAGCTGAATACTGTACTCTGTCTGCCCTGTCTGGTTGAGTAAGATCTTCCTAGCGTTGAGCTCCAGTCCTGGGGCTTTCATAGATGTCTTCATACTTTTGTTGGTAATAACCCAACAATGGTTTGGAGGAATCTCTTGTTTTGTCAACCTATTTCACAACCTCCCATCCGAGGATGAGCCTCATCTTTCATCCAACAAATATCACAATCTTTTTTAATGATTCAGTGGTGTCAAATCCAGTACTTTGAAAACTTGCAAATGTTTGATGAATCCCTTTGCTCCAGTTCCAGGAGCTCCGATTGCTGTTGACTTTATCTTCTACAGTCTTTCTACTCCGGATAACAAATCCCAGGATTTTCTTCCTTTTTCCATTTGTTTTTCATCAATTCGCCTCTCTCCTGGTATTGCCCCATCAACGAACCACATTGTATTTTTCTCCATTCAATTTTCCTTTTCAGCTGAAGTCTTTTTATTACAATTCAGATCAGTGGCCCTGGGATCCGGCGTACTTACCCTTTTTCCAGCTGAATCGGGTGTCTCCTACGATCCAGTACTCGTGATCGTCAAAATGGATCTCTCCTGTTTGCGGGAAGAAGGCATGGGCTAACTCTCCCGTCGTCCCATCGAAACAGTGATGGATCTGCGATTCCAGGCAATCCGTATGGTTGATGGGGTAGAAACCTGGGAGAGATTTCGCAGGGCATTGAGAAAGAGGAAAAAGGGAATCATGTCATACCTGTGATGAAATGGAATTATGAAGGCCAGGCTCAGGGAGATAAGCATGTTCTTAGTTCACCAGAGAAGTGTGGGAAGTTCAAGAGGATGAGGCTGGCACCTCCCTGAGGAATTCACGGTGTTGTGGCTGGCTGGCTGGCTTGAAGCTAGGTTTCAGTCTGGGGAGATTGATGTCAGGTTTAGCTCAAAGAACTCCAAGAGACAATGCAAATTCAGTTCTTCTGTGTTTATTAGCTACAACCTCTAGACAGAAAATCTCCCCAGACTGAAA